TTTGCAAAAATTATGAGAATTGTCGAAATATCTAAATATCATAATATCGAGTGCATGATGGGTAATCCCGGGCGATGCCCTTAGTCCCTTGTCTTTGTAGTTTAGTTTTTTTTTGGCGACTGACATATCTGTAGTTCTGAACATTTTCTTGATGTCAACAATGAATTATTCTAGCAAACCCGAGTGTTCCGGACAATATATGGATATGGATATTATGATATTTAGATATTTAGACAATTCTCATAATTTTTGCAAAAGGCTGTATTTCAGTCAATAACGTAATATGGGATTGTGCTAAGGCGACATCAGTGACACGAATATGACGTCAAAAATAAGGTTACTGTAATGTTAGAAAGGTTTCTTTTTTCAGTTAATGGCTTCTTACTATGGGGTAGTGATGAGCGAGAGGACGCGAACTGTAGGACAAGATGGCGACTGTATTGGTTAAAGGACCTATTTCAGATGTACTATTAGGGAAGATTAGGGAAGATTAAAAGAAAAAAGAGTCAAATGTATTGGTAATGGGTTCTATGTCAGTCAATGTCTTAAATATACTGCAAAACAAGTCAAGATGTCGACTGTATTTGGTAACAGTGTTAATTTCAGTGAATGGCTTATTATGGGATGGTGATCAGGCGAGATGACGAGAAAACAAGACGTAAAGATAGGAAGAATAAAAGAGGAAAGATTGTTTAAGATTTTATTCTATTTAATAGTGCTGACAAGAGTGCTACAAGAGTACATTTTACAGTGCTCACAAGATCAAACAACGTATATAAAAGACACGAATATAGTCAAAAATCGATGTCAAAAGATGCTTATGTTTTGCCCAAATGCTTGATTTCTATGTATATAATGTATAAAGCCAATGTCTCGAGTATCCGCTTATAATAATTTTTGATATTTTAATTTTAAATAGTTCGGTTTCACGCATTTCAACATATTTTGATAACTTTTTGGCCTTGTTTCTTTTTTTCATTTTTATAATAATAAACGTCATTGTTCAAGCCCTCAAATTTCCCCGTTTTTATATTTCCATATCTCAATTTTCTTCATTCCAATATTTCGATTTTCTGATTCCCTTTTCTGCAGTTTAAACTTCCTTTTTTCAGATATAGAAGTTTTGATTTTCGATACGAAGGGATAACCATGAATAAGCTTCGAAAGTCCACTTACAAGTCAAAAACGTCAAAAGCATGCTGGTCAAAGGGCACAACATGCTCTAGTAATAAAAATGGATTTGTCTTTGAAATTATTGTAGTAAAAGATAGATTCCAGATGCATGATGGWAGCCGGAAAGACTCATGGGAAGATACCACCACGTGGTATCACGTGCACTATCACGTGACGGCAGCCATGTTGGATTGTTGCAAAAAAGTAAATTACGGGCATTTTGCAATAGTCATCTGATACAACATCCTTCGTGTTTGATAGGAAATGCAAAGAACAAAGAGTCTCAGTCAGTTAGAGGGAAATTGCAGTATTTTTATGAAAAGAACCCAAAGGATGAGTCGTACGACCGTGAAACCCCTTCTATAGTTCTGTTATCGAACATGGCTGCTCTGTCGTGATGGTGAAAACCGCAGATCAAAATTGTTTGGCATGAAAGAGCTAGTAACCAGATCTCTCACGTTAAACCAAGTTGAGGGAATTTAGGTACGAATGAGKAAATTCCGGCTCTAYCACGTSATCTAGAACAACGTTACAATTCTAAACATCATCCCATTCATCAAAAGAAGGCAGTAGCTCCACCCTGTTTCTATGGTTACCTGGTACGATTTGTTGATTGTACGAGTTCGGAGGGCTGTCACGGTGTAGCCGATCAGTCTCAGTTGGAAAGCCTTGCGTCCCGGGGATCATCCCGTTTGGTGCGTGATACCGCGATGACTCGTCTTCGTAATCACTGCCATAACCTGGATAAAGATTATAAGAATCATCCATAATGTGTCTATAAAGTGGCCACCCTCTATAAAGCGGCAACCCTCTGTAAAGTGTTCACCCTCTATAAAGCGGCCACCCTCTGTAAACCTCTAAAAAGAGACCAACCTCTATAAGCAGGTCACCGTACATCAATTAGTCAACCTCTATAAAGCGATCAAATTCAATAAAGTAACCAAACCTCTATAAACTAGTCACCCTCTACAAAGCGGCACCGTATCTAAAGCGTTTATCCGATATAAAGTGGTCTACCTCTATTGTGCGGCCACAATCGATCTATTTGCTATTATTCTAAGTCCTTTTGCGCGCGATTGTACTAAGGCGTCCAAACACATGATCAGCTGACTCACCGGTATCTCCTGGTACCCTTTGCCCTTTAGATCTAAAAGAGCTCTGTGGCGATTGGTTGGGCGTGGGTGGTGCGAGGGGTTCTCCATTCTCATCGTGTGTTTTTAAAGGGTACCAATATGCATTCCCATCAAGATTAGCGTCAGCCAGGTGAATTAAAGCCTGTATAAAMCAAAGTGTATCTAAGCATTTCATAGGAACCAAATGAATGCGACATTACGACCATTCCGAAATACATCCGAGGCATTGACGAAGAGATTCGGCATAGCAGGATTTAGTACAAACATACTAATGGTCTATCACTCATACTGCGCTGTGATTGGCTACTCTACTAATGGTCTAATTTGTGATAGACCACTCGCGGGAAAATCAAAATGGCGGCATCCCATTAATAAATGATTTTAAGAACATTTTTTTTTGTTTTCATTATTTGACCGATTAGTATGTTTATACTAAAACAATTAGACCTCTCGGCCTCGTGGACTACGAGCTAATAGCCCGTTCGGCCTCGCGGACTCGGCCTCATGGGCTATTAGCTAGTAGTCCACTCGACCTCGAGGCCTAATATTTAAATATGAAAAGTTGCGCTAAATGCGGGTTGCCAACCCTCTCGCAACACTGTTTCCCACTGTATTGGTTCACCGTTGGCGTTAGACAGCACAGAGCAAAACTGTCGCAAGAAACCTGTCCAAGTCGTTTCGTCTACAACATGGTTACAACTCTGTCGCTGATTACAACTGTCAAACTCCTGATTGTTTAATCGCTCTACGACTGTAGCCATGTTCTAAGTATGATTTAGTCATGTTGAATGCGATGGTTGTAGGCAAACGCTGTCATCTAATTCGGCCATTAGATGCGCGCAACGATCACGACCGATGATTAATCGACGAATGATTTCGAGGGTACATCCGAAACATGTGCGACGTTGTGGCGRAATGTAGAGAACATATGAATACACATTACGCATGCGAGCAAGAAATRMAGTCAAAATAGTAACCTTACCTCGCCAATAAATTCACTCGATCCTATTTTATTGTAATCCCAGATTGTGATTTCTAATGAGCGTGAAGCGAACTACAAGCAAAAGATATATTAGTGAAACACACGACGAAAACTTTGACAAACTTGTTGTTGTTAGTCTTACCTTTTGTATTCGACAAGGATAGACAAARGTTTGGTTCCATTTTGGATTAGCTGTTTTCATGGCAGTTTTAGTACGACGTTTGCTTTGCATGCTGAAACAACAAACACAAATAAACATTATCGAACAAAGCCATTAGGGATTGCGCAATATTTATCAGTGTAGAGGGGAGTTGAGAAATGAGCCAAAAAATCAAAAAAAAGTTAATTACTGCCTCCCTCCCTCCCATCCCACCCCCCCTGATAAATATTGCGCTGTACCTTATATTTTATGCAATGAAATTAYGCCTTTTTCTAATGGATGGCTTCCACAATGCGGGTATTTCTGGAAACGTTTCGACACTTATAAATATTTCTTTGTGCATAAAAATACCTCGTTTTCATGCGCGCGCCTGCGATATTTTTTGGACAAGATGCTTACCTTCTATCTGGGAGAAAATATATTCTGACGTAGGGATTGGGTGCGGTGTTCGTTTCTCTTGAGCTCAGACCTTCTGCGGTAACCACGGTAACGTTCAGATTATTTGCATCTTCGTCGTAACCAAGTCGAACCTGTCAATCAACAGCTCGYGTGATTACTAGTTCAATCAGCGTTCATCGAGTCAAWCTGGACATTATGAGCGCACCTGCTAAAGCTTTTACGATAGCGGAAATCGGACGTACCTGTATTCTTCCGAGAAAGCGACCTTTGTGTCCAGCGGAGTCTGCCATTCTATTGTCCGTTGGAGGTCCACCTCCAAAGAAATAGTCGTCGTCAGCGACTGTAAACAGCGTCAAAAATAAACAATACACATCATTCAAGGTCGAGAAATATGAGACCTTCAACTTGTATCAGAATATTTCTGCTTTTTGGTGACCTAAAAATCGATGTTTCTCGTTTTTTTTTGGCGCAACGAAACACAGGCTATGAAAAACGAGAAATACTGAAGCTAAACTTGACCAGCAACATTGTTGCATGCGCGACAGGTTGATGTTTTTTATGTCATATTTCTCGGCCTTTAGCAATTACTGTTACTCACTTTGAGAGCCAAATCCAGGTTGATCGTTCATCCGGCTACCCACAGGGCCATTCGCTCTATCAGCACCGAAATTCGACCGGGAATCCTGTGGTCCAGACATCGGTGAAGTGCGATCTCTTTTAACGGGCGATCCGGTACTAGTAGGACCACGTCGTGTCGGCTGATTGTCTTTTGGTGCGAATTTGTTTCTATATAGCGAAAGAAGAAACCTTTAACAATGCGTAAAAGTTCCGTTAAGTACGCAAATTCAAGATACGTAAGGATTCCGTTGAGACACCATCTATGCGCAATTTGCGATGTGCGTWAAAGAATCGTAGTCATATACTATACGTAATACCAACGCAGACGCATTTATCGCGTAACTATCTTACACGTAGYATCTATGCAGCGTTTATAGCTACATAGCGTTTTACGCAGCGTATAGTAAAGAACACGCATAAAGTAAGTATACACCTAATTGAAGAAACGTCGTCGGGTCCAAAAAGGTCAAATCATAGAAGCTAAGACCGAAAGGGTAATTGGGAAGACAAACAATTTTCCTAATTTCATAACAAACAGCTCTCCAGCATAAAAGACTATAATGCTGTTAATCTTACTAGCTCTACTTGCTTTGTGTACACCGTATATGCAAATGTAATCCCAATTTAGTGGTACTCAAAATCCCTTTCGGTCTTAGCTTCTATGATGTAGCCTTTTCGAACATGACTACGTTTTTTCAATTAGGTGTATATACTCAACGTACAAAACATGACTAATACTAGCATACGTTTACGTCAGGGATTGCGCAAAGAACACACAAATGTTTATGTGTAAAGCATCATTTTTTTTCGGTCCGGTATCTAGTCATTCGCGCGCTATGATTGGCTAGCGCGCGGTCCGCGGAATTTCACGATCTGTCCGTTATCACGGTATCGGTCCTGCAGCTAATTTGCGAGCAAAGTTGCAGAAAATACAAATGAAAAAATAAAAATGTTGTTTACAGGCTATAGGTCGGACCGTATAGKAAAACACTGCCCTCGATCTTTTATGTCAAGACCTCGGGCAGTGTTTTCCTATACGGACCTCCCAGCCGGTAAATAACATGTATATCTTTTTCATAGCGCTATTCACTGTACAAAAAACGGACCGAGAAAAAGAAACAGATGTCAAATGGAATCAAATGCTTAAAAGAAAAGTATTTTTCGAAATAATTAGTGTAATTATCAAATAATTCACGAGTGGACGGATCGAAACCCACAAAAAATACAGACTCAAAGACAGACAGATAGATGGAAACATATAAATAAGTAAGTACTAAAACGTAAAGTAAGACTTTAAATAAACAATTAGAAAAAGCAAGAAAAACTGAAAGTAGAAAGAAGAAAGTGGAATAGAGAGAAAGGGAAAGAGAAAAGAAGAATGAGATGCATTTGAAACAAAAGCTGAGAAGAAATATAAATTCAAATCCAATTTGCTACATGTGCGCTTGTTTTTGCTTTGAATTCAATAATATTTCAACCTAGGCACAGCGGAGCTGCAGAAAAGCTTGTTGAGAATATGATAATGCCGTAATAGCCAGCAACAACAGTTTTAAAAATATCTAAATCTGATTGAATTGTGGTAAGACTKAAAGAACTTTCAAGTGCAGCCATTTCACATTTTCTGGGTTATTAGAGTATCCTSAGGGCTTGAAYTAAATTACGCTTCGGGATTTATAATTATAGTCGTGCAGTGAGATATTCTTCATTCATCAAACCCAAAAAAGACATAGCGGAATAAAAATTAACATGCAGTATGTTCAAATATGTTGATGAAAATGACTTGAATTAACTTTTTAGTTTGAGTTTTCGTGCTCCAGAGCAAAGGAAAACTATAGTTTCAAGGTTGTTTTCACGTTATTCAGCGTTTGGATTTCATTAATAAATGAAAAGGACCTCAACATTTGACAACGAATGCAAAACGATTTTYTTAGCGTTAATCGCGCCTGGAGTGTTATCATAGTACTTACTTATCTCGGCAGAGTACAAGGTGAAGTTCTGGCGAGTCGTCAGTGGAATTGATGATTTCTTGGACCTCTTCGAACGTGCAATCAACAAGCGATTGATCGTTCCATTCCATTACCTCGTCACCTGTCGAGAACATCAACAATTTGTATAAATAAAGAGAATTGAATATAAATATTGATACAATAAAACAATCAACCACCTAGCCAATAACAGACGAAACATCCCCCAGAAATGCACCGCGCAGAAAGACTGAAAATATCATTGGAAAYATCCCTGGAAACATGGGGAATATATTGCAATTTACGTGATTCTAAAAAACTGGAATTGTGTTCTAAAACAAATATATATATTCGAATCATKTTGAAATTTTCAATTCATCATTTTGAAGTGTGATAGTGAATCTGTCTGTTTAGATGAAGTGTTCTAGAATGTTACCAGRTCGAGCATTTGAATGGTTTTCTCTTAATTGATCATTACTAGGGGAATTTCGCTCAATTAACCGACACTTCGAATCTAATACCCAGAAAACCGGTCCTCTTATAACTATTTTAAACGCTGACATGTGCAGAATAGAAATTTAAATATAAATTCCTCCAATCCAGGTCATTTCAGGCTTATTTTCATCCAATTTCTATTAGATCATAAGTCCCTGGAGCGCAATGCAAATTGAGTATAAGGGGATTGATAAGGATCGAAAAAATGTCAATTAACATTARCCTCCCCCGTATGCAGAATTTCGCTTTTTCTCTTTAGGCTTTCTTTGAAAAGAGGGCTACGGAGGAGGAGTGCTTATTTACTGATTATTACAACAGAGTAGTGTACATGGACTAAATCTTTGGAAATGGAGTTTACTAACACTCGTGAAAGTGTTTTTATGCTATTTATGTTTCGCGGATTACTTCTACTCTACGTGGAGCCACTGAATTTGTKWAACAAATATTAGTGATTAATAGMAAATAAAATTTGCATAACCCAGGACMTCATTTTGAATGMTCCACGGGAGAAWTGCGCTAACGAGTCACGGAATACAAAGTGAAATCCAAAAAATATCAATTTTGATTGGGCTTCCTGTGTTAAGTACACCACAGGGTACCCACCAATACTGAAAAAGRCAAATAATGTACCTTCTTGTAACTTTGCTTGTAGATCCGCAGGAGTGCCTCTCTTGACTTCGACGACGTAAGCTGCCATTTTTCCATCGTCCGACATTTTTCCGCCMACCACTCGAAGGCCAAATAAAGAGCTCGGTTCTGTTAAATACAAAATAATCGTTAAATATTTAAAAAAAAATAATAAGAATAAGACAATTAACGAAGAAACTAATATTCGTGGCAGGGAGCATTTTTTGCTAAAACGGAGGGGAGGGTCGGGGTAATATCGATTAGTTTCCAGGTCYTTGTGCTGGAACGGCAGTGTTAGTAAAGATGGCGCCTTCGGTGTGCAAGTTTCCACGTGCCAGCTAGGAAAAATATCTTTTTAACAGCCCTTCACCACTCAAATCGTCAAAAAAGGTAATTATTTTAAAAACATAACAAGCTAGTAGATAGTTTTACATTGATTTGATGGATAGAAAGCTCTTCTGTGCTGTGAAACTCAAAAACAGATTTCACTTTCGTATGAAGCCGCCGTGAATCTTCTAAGCTAAATGTTCATAATTTTAAGTTATTTTACAGAATAAATGTTTTCTAGAAGGTATCAAAAGCTATATAAAAGGAATTTGAAAGTTCTGGATGCTATTTTAAAATTTGTAAGGTCAATTTCTGACAATTTTCTAGACTTCATTGAAAAATTTGCCAGAATGGCATCTCGAGGATGTAACTTTAAAGCTTGAGCTTAATAACAATTMAAAGATATTGAAAAAGTAAAAGTAAAGTTATTAAGCTATCAAATGCTATTAACTGTAGGGAAAAAGTAGGGAATAGGCAAATATGTCTGGACAGTGTCAAATGTTTAAAGTAGCAACATTTCAAAGCGTGAAGTTGCAAAAGAAAGTGTCCTTTCAGTCAAACATAATTCTCTTACATAAAAATGGTAGCCCTCCATATGCAATAAGAATGATATCTATATGAGCAATATGTATTAGCCCAATGAATTAATTCAAATGACTGACATTGTATGTCCTGATAAAAACTGATGTTTTATTCATCAATGTAGTGCTAGATTTAGAACTCTGAGGTCATGTTAAAAATGCCCTACAGCAGAGATATACTGATAGCAAAGTTCTCAGGCATACAATGCAGGGCAAAAAATAATGGTGAGCAATTACTTGATGTCCAGCAATTAAAAGCTCTAGTTTGACTGGTTGAGTAAAAAAATAAGTCCTTTCAAGAAAACATTTGACCAAGTAATATAAACTTAGATTTGAAAGAAACTTTACAATGTTTTTTTGAGTGAATCTTGTATTTTGGACTGCATTGCTAAAACAACAAGGAAGTTAATGATGTTACACATAGTTTACATAGTTTACATAGTTCGGTCATAAACCACATACCTGACATGGWGGATGGTAATATCCGAGGGTCACGAGTAAGCAGAACTTCTCCAATACACTTGTTGTCGTCATCAGGAGGCGACCACTTGATAGCACTTTCACTCTGAAATATTCATTTATAAGCTAGTTATGATAGGTTACAAAAATAAAAATAATATTATCACAATCATTATCATTATCATCATCATTATTATTATTACTATTTCCACTAATATCAAAATTCTTACTAGCTATTATTACTGATCAAGTAAGCAACTCTGAGTTGTATTAAATTTCAATATAGATTTTAAAAGAAATGCTACGAAAAATTATTGACTAGACAATTATACAAAACAAAGGAATTATCATAATCTCAGCAACTATTTTGTACTATTTATTTTTCAAAGAATAAGTATATCAATTATTACCAATAATTATTATAATTAATTATATTAAGTAATAATCTTGATACAATAAAAAATAGATATGATATTAAATTTTAATCAAAGTCAGCAAAGTAATCCCGAACAATAACAGCCATATTTTTTGAAAACATATTTTTTGTTTTTAGTTTTACTAGGTAATACTTCTTTACCCTGAGTTCATACAATTTGAGGTGAATTAACCCTTTCACACCTTATATACTTTTTTCCCACTTCTCATTTTATTCCCATTTTTCTCTTACTTGCCTGTTTTTGAATTTTTTATGCTGAAGAACAATCTGATAAATTCAAAATCTGCATAAACCTTCGAGCTTTCTGATATCTATCTTAAACATTAGACATATTTTCAAATACTAGCCCTTGTTGTAAAGTATGTCAATTTTAAAACGAACTCAGATGCACACATTTTCCATTATTTCTATGACTTTCCATGCATTAACACATRTAATTTTGTTTCACTTGGTAAAATTCTGCCATGATCTCTATAAAATGTAATTGTAAATTCTCATCACTTGTAATTTTAAGTACCTCATATACATTAAGCTGCCTGAAAAGTTTAACCTCAGATACATCAATTTTGCTATAAATTGATTGTCTAAAGAAACATGATATTATAAAGTCTATTTCAAGGTGTATACAAACAATACTTGACCCAAACAGTTATGCTATGGAATTCTACAAGGACCACACTTAGGAATTCCATATTAGATTGATCAAATAATCCCATCTGTCAGCTAAAGTTAGAATTAAAATAAAACCTTCCAACCTTCTCAGGTTCAAATCCATAGCTTATTTAAAACAAACAGCAATTTTATAATACTTRCAATGGTTTCAAAGTAAGAGACAAATGAAAAACTTCTCAGGTGAAAATAGTGAGACATTTTATGGAACCAAAGTTGGAAAATGATAAATTTTGTATGATTTTTGACTGTTCTGGGCAGTATTATGTGCAGGAATGTGGAGCCATAATCTGGTTTCTCATGTAAATGAGTTTGTAGACCTTCTAGGTAATAATAATTGATATTTATACCACAATTCTACTTACACTATAAAATGACTGTAAAAAAATATTAAAKAACTGAACTGCAATTGGGCTGAATGTTTCTACCACTGAGTCAAATTGTTTAATATTGAATTGTGAAAAAATTGTAATTCAAAAGAAAAAAAATCTACAAAAATGTCCTGTACTAATTTGGAGGGCGATCACGAGAAAAAATTATAATAATTATTGTGTCGCATGAGAGTAGAGTGTAAATGACAATGTTTGGGGTGTTTGTCATAAGATAAGAATCCGTCTTAATCAGAAATCCCTTATTTTGAAATCTAAGAATTATATAATTATTATAGTCTGGTCTGAGAAAAAAAAAAATGTTTAGTGTCTAAAAATTCTAGTTAAACCATATTAAGATCATGATTCCTACATGGGTGTAGTAAAGATTTTCTTTGAATAGTGTTTTTGCTTGATGAAGATCAGAACATATGCTAATTAAACACTGAAACCATTCTTACTATGAGAATTTCACAACACAAAACCAAAGAATTATTCAAAAGGAAATCAGTAAACACATTTTGTATTGTTGATAACTAACTCAGAATCTAAATAGTTTCTATAGCTATAAAAAAAATGAAAATCTCCTAGTAATTTTATTGTTTTTGTTTTGGGTATTTGGATACAAATTGCCAATTCACTTACAAAAATAATATGCCAAAAATGAGTGTGTTTAGCTGTCTCTTTATGTAAACACTCTCTCAATAATAGCAATTTAAGGGTCATATAAGAACTTAATATTTCTCTGTTAAGCAGTATTATAGTGGTGTATTGAAAAGACGACAATAAATTTATATTGCCATTCAAGAATCCCAAACCTTTGAGTGTGTAAAACCTGCATGTCCACCTCTGTTACTAAAACGCTTATTATTATAAGAGTTTGGAGTTGCGTTGGGAGTCCTAATTGAAGGTGTTGTTGATGTTGTTGTTGATGATACAGTAGTTGTAGTTGTTGTTTTCCTGAGGTTCAAAGCACTGACAAACAAATCTCCTATGGCACTTTTTTCCTGATTTGAAGGATTTTCCTCCTTAAAGAACAGATTACTCTGAATAGAGAAAAAACAGCCACAAATTTTGATAATTGTATCAACAACACCACATTAAAACATTTTTCAATGTTGTAGAATTTCAGTGTTTTWGTCTTACCAAGAATGTGCCAGGGGAAGATTTAAATTCAGCCATTATAGACTCTCATTCACTAAGTAATATGTCTTGAGGAGAATTCCTTTTGAAAGATATCTTCCTTGAAGATCATCTATTATTCATTATGACTAAAATGTTCAGCTAATTATAGTGGATTTCTTTGTGAATTATGTGCAATGAATCAAAATAGTGAAGGCTATTAATCTTTAAAAAAGCTTGGATATTTAAGGGGAGTCTTCACAGTGGCTGGTCTAGAAACTCAGTTAAATATCTAATCATTTTACTTGTTCTTCAATCTGTGAATGAATTTGATATGTTAATTTGAAAAAGATGTTTTTATGTAATTAGACTTACATGTAGTTTATCATTATATAATAAAAAAATGCCATTGCAAAGAAAAGAATATGTTCAGAAACAAAAAGGTTCTGGTATACAAACTTAGTTTATCCAATCATTTCACTTCTTTTAATCTTTATACACAGTTGAAAAACATAAAAAAAATACAAAAAGAATAAACAAAGGATAATATATAATATAAAACAATGTTTAACACTATTGTTTTATTAAACAAAAAAACTAAAATCTAATCTTTATTCACCCTATAGCTATGTATCAGAATTCAATGAGATTTATGTTTCAATTTCAGGACATTAACTCTATCAATTTAAAAAGTAATCAGTTGAAAGTTCAGTTTGCATTGTAATTATTGTTTGGTAGAATCATCTGCAAAGATAATAKTACCGGTATTATCTTTGGCAATTATACAATAAACCAAACTAAAGATTGAATTGAGCTATGGGTTATAGTTGTAGTACAACTACTACTATTGAGTGGGATACATGTATGCCAAAAATGAAGTGGGACAAAGTTACATAACAATAGAGTTCTGAATGACTTATGCCAAAAAAAGCAGTTATTTTTTAAAGAAAAGAAGAAAAGTAGGTCCCTTAATCAGACACACAATTTTCTTCCATTAATTTTACTCACCATTCAGTATTTTACAGAGTTAGTCTTTCAAGTTTGTTTTTTTTTTCTTTTATAATAATAGTGTCATCGAATGATATGATTTCACAAAAGAGATAATTATATATTTTACATTATTTAATATTCTTTACGACTTCAACAAAAAATTTTAAAAACCTTAGTTTTTGTCAACCTAGATTTATAAACGTACTGCTTTTAAGTTTGGAAGAAAAAACTTTGTAATTTGTCTCAGTCAACTGACAGTCAACCATATCGTTCAGCTGGAATTAGCTCTTACATATGCTGAAATTTGGAAATTCTGCTAACTGCTACTAGCCACTACATTGTATGTCCTTTCAGAACTTGGAAAAAAATTACACACACTTAGGCTTTATATCAAATTCTTAAGGATACCAATTCAGCAAACACTTACCGATGTTGGCTGTGACCCTGTTGTACTTCTGTCATCCATCATATCTCCTCCAATTCCATCACTGTAMCCAGACTGTCTTCCACCATAACTATCATCTAAGCCTGATCCTCCTCTACCAGATAAGTTACTAAGTCGACTTTGTGGTGAATCACGCCCATACATGTTTGTTGGGCTGCCAAATTGTCCTCTGCCATCCATAGATTTTCCATTCATACCATAGGATSCAGGACTGGAACCATACATAGGCTGATTTTGAGCACTTAAGCCCTGTTGTGGTCCCATTCCWGGTCTGTTGTCTGGACTCCTTGCATAGTTTTGGCTGTCTGGCCTATAGCCACCACGTCCATCAGGAATTTTCACAGGGGCCGAGCTACCTCTGCCATCCATATGCGGCATGGTGCCATTTTGAGTTGGTCTGTCTTGTCCAGGGTAAATCCCTTGCTGATTTGGATCATTATGTCCATGAAGATTGCTGATCTTTGGTGGAGAACCAACCATTCCAGTCCTTCTCTCAGCTACTGAGCCTGGTTGYTGTTGTTGTTGTTGATATCCCTGCTGTTGCATTTGTCTTCTGGCAGATCTTGGTGTTCCTACTTGCTGTGGAGGGCCACCCATGTGAGGAGAGCTACCCATCTGTTGAGGACTGCCCATCTGTTGAGGACTGCCCATCTGTTGAGGGCTACCCAATTGTTGGGGTCCACCCATATGAGGTGAGCCACCAATTGGTTGATGTCCGCCCATGTGTGGAGAGCTACCCATTTGTGGGTGTCCACTAAACTGTTGCGAGCCACCCATGTGTTGAGGGGYTCCCATCTGTTTGGGTGCACCCAATGGCTGCCCATGAGGACTTCCCATTTGCTGAGGACCTCCCATATGGTTWGGTCCTCCCATTTGGTTGGGTCCTCCCATKTGATTKGGTCCTCCCATCTGATTGGGTCCTCCCATCTGATTGGGTCCTCCCATCTGATTGGGTCCTCCCATTTGATTGGGTCCTCCCATCTGGTTGGGTCCTCCCATCTGATTGGGTCCTCCCATTTGATTGGGCCCACCAATTTGATGTGGTCCACCCATTTGATGTAGTCCTCCCATTTGCTGTGGGCCTCCCATAGGTCTTCCTTGATGTTGTTGTCTAACTTGCTGTTGAGGTCCTCCCATCTGTTGCTGGGGATATCCCTGTCTTGGAGATGGTTGAGTTCCAGGTCTGCCACCTGCCATTTGAGGACTGCTTTGAGGCATGCCTCCTCGYCCAACATTGCTAGACCCTGGGGGCATCCCCCTGCCTGCAGACATTTGTTGTTTTGGTCCCATCCCAGGCTGCTGCTGGGAAGGAGACCCTCTCCCAGGACCCCCTCTCCCAGGACCTTGATTTTGAGGATAACCTTGTCTAATGCCTTGTTGCGAACCTGTTGGTCCACCCCTGCCAATACCCTGACCTTGCTGTTGTTGCATCTGAGGCCTTATTCCCTGCTGACTTCCTGGAGCCATTGCCCTAGGGCCTTGCTGTTGAGGACCAAATCCCCTGCCTCCTGGTGGYTGTCCTTGTTGTGAAGGAAAACCAGGCCTTGTTCCTGGACCCTGCTGGGTTCCGAATCCTGGCCGTACACCTGGTTGACCACCTCTTCCCATTTGTCCCTGAGGTCCCATTCCAGGTTTCCCTTGGTAAGGKCCTTTTGTCCCTCGTCCATGAGAAGGCATCCCTCCCCTGCCCAACCCTTTTTCATCATGAAAAGTTACYTTTCGCCTTCCTCTTTCTCCGTATCTAGTACCTTCATCGTCACTATAATATTGACCGTAAGGACGGCTTTGTATTGATTCTACTTCTTCATCTGAYAATGAAGGTCTCCGTAAATAATTTTGTCGTTCGTGTTCAAGACGTCTAGCTCGATCACTTTCATTTTCCATATTTGCACCTCTTCTAAAACTTCCCCTGGCAGAACCCTGTCTTCGCATTGCTCTCTTATCCTCCTCAGATGGAATTGCTCTAAAGTCTGTGCCGAATGGAGAACCATGGTCATCTATAGCTTTTAAGCCAGCTTCCTTTGGYCCGAACCATGATCCTGTCTTGGTTAATACTTCTTGTTTCTTTTTACATACTAAGCAAAGCAACTGGACCTAAAGAAAACAGTAGTCTTGTGTTAATGAAAGAATTACAAAGATTTGATGTTATTCCTGACAGTTGTCTGAGAATAAAACTGTTAGTTCCTAAAAGTTAATGTGYCTGGAATACAATCGTTAAAAACCTTGAAACTAGGAAGGCATGCAAACGTACAGTTTTGATTTGGTCATTCTAAAACTCAWTCTATAAAAAGGCATTCTATTGATTGGGCATAGCTGTTTAAATAGTCAGACATCATTTTCATATAATTTTATTTTTTATTTAATTTTATGGKTTAATTTTATTTCATTATAAATTTTATTATTATTTGTTATTTCTTTAAATTTCTTTACCATTTTACTTTTTATTAACCTACCATTTGATTAATAAAATYATTCACAATTTACTTAATATACTTCATATATTAATCTTTTATGACTGAGCATTATAGGCATTATTTCCTGTTACCGTATTTAATAATTTATTTTAATATTTTTAAAAATGGTTTAGCATTCCATATTTTAATCTTAAGATTAAGTTTATTCTGTCCATTATTTTTGTTCATTATTTAATTTTAAATTTTGGTTAACTAATCCATGACCTACAATTTAGTAAATATATTTTAATTTACGTGACCTACAATTTAGTAAAATATATTTTAATTTATTTTAATATAATTATAGCATTCATATAGTGTCACTCCATCTGTGCGGCAAACCTTGTGATAGATAGATAGCAGTAAATGATAAAAAATTGCCTGTAAGGTGTCTCAGAATGTTTGTATCATTGCAAATAAATTTTAATAGACTCCTTCACGATTCCCATCAGCCATCTCAAAAGGTAGCTGTGCCTTTCCTTGACTCAAGACCACCATTCAGTGTGTAATGATGGAAACCTTCTTCTATTAGCCATTCCGGAGTTATGAAATGAATTGTAATTTCTGTCATATTGAGCCAATCGAAAAACTAACCATATCACCAAAAAGACTTTATCGACTTTAGTGTAGGTTCCAAGTTACTGATCATTTGGACAAATATTCAATTAATGAGAAGCCGTGCAATTTACAGAGAATGTATGGGGATTTTGACCGCATCCCCCAAAACAATACATTCTCTGTTAATTTGATGAAACTAGRAATAAATRCWGTTCAGCTAGTTTTTATCCAAACGTTTTGAAACTTGGTATATTACTAATTTTTGGGTGTCCTTYCATGKGGTKGGKTTTGTTTYRTGATTAGATCAATATTTCTTTGATTAGTGYCCAGTCCCTTGCGCAACTCCGGAATGGTCAATATCCATTGATAATTATTCATGGTTATCTATATCATCTATCATTGTGATTTCAAAGTGCTGTCTCGATACGTTGTAAGGCACAGCTGCAACCTTATGAGGTGGTGCAGGAAGTGGTGAAGTGACTACATGTATATGATGAAATAATTATCCAATAAATCTATGAATCAAATGATTCAATGAATGTATCTGGGAGTACTACAGTCTGTTGTACATGCCATTCAAAGCAAGCAAGCTGATGTTTAAGCTGACAACAGGTTTGTGCAYAAAAGCAAAACAAAAGAAAGCAAGAAAAATGGTGTCATTTATATTAAATARCACTATAAATTTGCATTCTCTGTGATTTGAGGCCAAGCCTGCATTCCCAGAGGGCTTACACTTKAGGTTTTTGAGAATGCAGGCAGCCTCAAATTAAAAGTAAAATGTTGTTTAGGTCCATTCAGTCTTTGCTCAGCCGGAATTTTCTGTAACCCAGGCTAAGGGCTACATACAGTGTATTGTTGATGTCAACATTTTTTCATTGCTTTGAGTTTTCTTGTATTCTTTGAATGGTCTTTGAATAAAAAGGAAAAGGGAGTGATTACAAACAACCTGAACATGCACTTAATTCGAATCATTTATATTTTTGTTTAATTCATGTTTTTCTTATCTACTAATTTGCTTTTGATTGGCATTTAATTTTTGATTTACCCGAAAGTAAATTCGAAAAATTCAGGAAGCCCTTGACACCATTGAATTAGTTATTTTTTAAAAATAATGAATACATTCATTTAAAGACACAAAATGCTGTTTTAATTAAAAACTCTCATTCAATGCCAAATGAACACGGTACTTTTTGTACACAATGATCAAAACAAATTGAAGTTACAACGGTTTACCACAAAATGACAGAAAAACAAACAAACAAAAACAAATTAAACAAGCCAAAAAACAACATAAATTACACATTACTTATAAGAGATGTCTAATGAAAAACTTCAGTTCTGACCAGTCAAATCTTTGTGTGAAGAGCCTTTTTAAGGTGTGGGTGAGTTCTTTTTTGTTCCATCTGAAGGTCTTTTGAATGGTCAAAGTTGAGATAAATCAGACATAATGACTGTCTGTTCATCTGAAATTATGTTTTCCCTGAGTCTGCATAACATATCATTGGTTTTTATTTTTTTATGATCTTAACTGTACACTASAACGTACTAAGAAAGGAAGAATTTTAATAGGTCTTGATTATATATTTAATTATTAAGTGTTTTATGTACAGTAGTTTTATGGCATTTTTAAGAAAGACACATCRCACAATTTTAGCAAAGGATATTTTACGATTTTAGCTTTTATGCTGTGGAAGAAAGCAGTTAGTGAGATAGGAAGAATATAGTATAGAATAAAAGTAAGTAGAGAAAGCAGGAGAACAGACCTCAGGTCCAAGAGCAAGAGTTTTGAAGTCCTGAATCAAGTTGGATATAAGAGAAAGACCTGGCGCAGCAGCAGTTGACTGAAATAAAAGTTTACAGTAAAGATGTGTTAACACATTTAAAATAGCTGTAAAGAATATACAATATTATTTTTGGGAAATTATTTTTTAAAAGAGGAATGATTTAAAGAGGGAATAGTTAATAAGGCAGCATAACTTACAGAGAGTAAAGATTACAAAAACATTTATTTAGTGAGTATGATGATCATGATTGACTTACTTAATACAAAGTTGCACACTTGCAGCACATTTTACAAGACATATCAATGAGCATCAAATTTTTATTGAATAGATTTAAAGCAGGGCTGTTGGTGTTTAATAATTGCAYGACTGGATAAGGCAAAATGTTTAACTTCAAGAAAATGTTTGTTTTTTTTGTTTTTAACCTTTTAAATTCATGGATTAAAGATTAAAGTTTTCAATAAAACAGAGAAAATGTTTTTTTTTTACTACACGTATTGTACACCTCATACTAGACCACTTTTTGTAACTGTTTGAATAATATGCATTACTGATAATTTATCTGTAAGCTGGCAAATATTGTAGTTCTAAGTCTGTTTAATATGATATTCCATAATATCACAACATGTGACTATCATATTCTAAATTGATGCCCTTAAAATATATTTACCATTTAACGGCAGCAGCTAAATGATGACAGCATAGTACATGGATAAAATTTATTATGAAATGGCACAAAATGACCCCTGAAATATCTAATGGTTAGTATAATAAATACGTACTTCCCTACTTAGAGGCTGGAGCGTGTGTAAAAATGAAAGATTGGATATAATTATACTTCCAGACATTTTCTCTTATAATATAAAAGCAGTTTTAAAAAAATCTCTCAATAGTATTCTCAGTAAAATCTGCTATAATTTTATGCACCTTTAAATGAAGTTTTTAGTTGAATACCTTAGGGGTCATTTTGTCTTTTGAAAAAAATAGCTGACATTTTAGCAAAGGTCTGTTTATCTTGTTATATATATAGATCGAGAGTCGGCAATATCGATATACTAGTAGTGTAATATAACAATGGATATAAACTGCCTGTCAGTACAATATGATTGTACCCTTATTTTGAATTCAATCACAGTCAGTTTAATCATAAGGTCTAAAGAATATTATGCAATACTTGTATAAGCAAGCCACTGATATTTAACATGTCATTGTGACGACTAAATGTGTAGGATTCATTTTCATTAACTTATTCTTATAACTGAACAAAACAAATTGTACACTTCGAAATTATCAAATAAGCTAAAATATAGTAAGATGTGTTTATTTAACATGGCAGTTCAAGTCACACTTAACAAAAAACTTTACTATAATATTATATATTTTGGTAGAGACTTTTTTATCTGGTGATCAAAGAACTGCATAACATAGTTTTGAACATATTGAATGTAATAATACTGGACGTATTGTTGTACAATGTCCTCTCTGTTTCAATATCAAATATACATATAAGTAAAATATTGATCAGCACATTTCTCTAAAATATTATAAAACATTGCTGTACTTTACTTATTTTGGTTCCATTAAAAATAACAAAATTGAAAATAAAAAAAAATGTATCTTAGGCAGAGAAATCATTTAGTAAAAGCTGCRTTAAACATGTTTTAAGCTTGCCATTTCCTCTCTGATTCCTAGATAAACTAAACTCAGGAACATCAAACCACCAAGCTTTTGTATAACCATATAGAAATATCTGATTTACTTATGCTAAAATGTACTGGATGTTTGTACAAGGATAAAACTTAAAATATAGTATAGTGTAAGTTTATTTTGTAATGTTGTATTAGGATTTAAAGCTGAATATACTCCTAATGGAGTTAACAGCCACAAACAAGATATGAGATCATTTCACCCAGTAATATAATAACTGACCTTAAAGCCTCATTTTCGCAGATTTTGTCAATGTTAAATCCAAACACACACTCAAATAAATGCGTTTTACCGGCTCTTAAGCTAGAAAATATTGCCAGAGTATTTACTACAAGGTCTGAAGCAACCATCAAATCCTACAGACCTGTGATCTTTAGAGGTTCAATGGCAAATATCTAGTGAAATATTAACTAATTTAGCTCAATTACCTGAAGACTTCCCACAGTTTTAGCYTGACAGGTGTTTTGCGTAATTGCGCCTTATATCACCTCAACCTTAATGGCCCCTTGTTATTATTTCGTAGAAGATGATTGAAATTCCCAATCAAAATCCRCAAAATGTGAAGTAAAGAGAAAACATAATCTTCTTTCTATGTGCAAATTCTATTAATAGCCAGCATTTCTACATTGGGAAAAAAGGTGTTTTGAGGTCTCAGCATGGCTGACAGTATTATTTCTTTTATCATGTATTSAAGTAATAATATATTCATGTATTAATGTTCTATTTACATACAAATCGCTTAACATAATCTGCCTTAATTTTTATCCAATCTCATCCATAATGTTCTAAAAGAATTTTGACAAAGACTAGCACTCTACTGATTGTTTTTTAAGTGATGTAAAAGTTATTTTCCATTTTTGTGAGAGAAACACACAATATTTCAGTTAAATAAATTTACTTAAAACCCATCTGACTTTTTGACATAATTTTCCCAAGACCCAGTATCACCCAGGATGCTTTGCATGCCTTGTCATTAATTTGAGCCACACCGAATGATTATTTTGATATCTTTTTTAGGTTATAGACAGGTTGATTAAAATAGCCTAGTTTATAAACTTGCTGAGCTTCCCATGAAGCAAAAATCAAAAGTTACCGCAGGCAACTCAAGTTTCAAAGCTTGTATGCCTAATTGACCAATCAGAAGCAAGAGCTACTTCAAAACAAAAACAAACGATGCTTTGCAAAGCATCCAAGGGATACTGGGCCTGATTTTTAATTTATGCTTGGTGTTTCAATCTATTTTAAATATTAAATACATGTAGAAGTTGATCTCAGGGCATTATGCTGTGATAGTGGCCTGAGGAAGCTGGATATTCTGAAATACAAATTATCCTGCATTGGACAACATGGAGTTCTGAGGAACATCCTCTTCCCTTGGTCATTCTATCATCGCTGTTTTTTTCTTTCAGCATAATGACTGAAATTTAAACTACTTGTATTTTATCATTCATAATAAAATGTTCTGAGGCAGTGGACTCTGTGACTGATAGTACCCCTCCTCAGCATGTACAATTGTGTCACATGGTGAGTGGTTTCTGCCTGTCTGGTTCAGCTGTTTTCTTGGGTATTACTGTACCTGAAACCACTGATATTGAACTKGGGCAGGCATGTACATTCAGTTTTTTGACAGTGGTCCACTGTCCACCAATGAGAAAGAAGCAAAATTTGTTTCCGTTCTCCTGGGTCCCCTCCCCAGTGTTATATATTAGCATGTAGACTATATGAAATGTGTAATTATCACTCAATGTAATGCTATTCAACASGGCTCGAAAAAACGGCCAGACATATGCAGGACAAGATGTCCTTCCAAATTCATTTGTGGAAGGTTTTTTCAAGTTTTGAAAGGACAAAAACTTTAGTAATAAACGTTTATTATTTCTTTTATTTTATAMGTTTTTGTATTCAGAAAGATCTGCAAGCATTTTAATGGCTTGTAAAAGATTTATTTAGCGAATTGAGAATTGATTTGTCTAAAAATGTKGCAGGTCAATTTGTCCTTTCAAAACCTGATTTGGCCGGTCATCTAGCGAATTTGGAAGGACATTGTCCTTTGACTGGCCGTTATTTAGAGCCCTGTTCAATGTGGGGTCTTAATCATGGAAATTAACAATGCTAGCACAACTTATTTAACATTGTGGACATTCAGTTTAGACCTCAAACCACAAGTTTATCAGTGGCATATCTAGTACAGGCTTATCTCTGAAATATTTTTCATTCATTTAATTTGTAATATACTAGTGCAAAKGCTGAAGACAGAAGTCAGTAACAAACAATGCTTATCTAAATAATAATTAATTTATGCACTGTACATAAAATTTCTCTTAATATGGTCATTTGAAGAAGTTATGATAACATTAATTGTATAAATTCATAATTATAAATTTACAATGTATAGAAGTGTAGCTAAAATTTCAAAATTAAACAAAAATATGATTGAATAACCCTAAATAAAACATAGTTTTAAGTTTGGTTAAAATTTCCTTCAGCAAGAAATGGAGCAAAATTAACATAAAATTACCCAAGATGCACCAAATCTCATAATTATATAATTTTAGCTGTCAAATGCTTTGTTGTAAATGACTTTTATACGTTACAACCTTTGAGGAGATTACAAAATAATGTGTTTGGAAAGCAGCTTCAAAATATCTAGTATTAAGTCTATAGCAGATAATTTCAAATAATAATAAAACAGCAAAATATTTCCTGCCATATTTAGTCARGCAGGAGAGAGAAAAGAGTTACAATAAAGAAGATCGATTATGCCTTGAATAGAGATAGAAGGAGAAAATAATTTTCCCACCAAAATTTGCCAAAGTTACAATTACAAAGTTATTAGTAGTATTTTTTATGAGTTCAATGTGTCCGTTAAAATTAAAAATGTTTCTTCACAAAATATAAATATGATGATCAGATCATGAGCAAAAGCTGCACATTGAATTTTGGAATTTAATTATAATTTTTTATCACAAATATATAAAATAAAATCAATAGATTTCACAGACTCGRTAGTTCTTTTAACCTAACCCTACAACTAGAGCTTTTTAGTATGAATCTAACCTACATGACGTATAACTGGTTTGAAAGGATACCATCTAGCCACGACCTTCCCCAATATATGCCTCCAGGCAACCCATAATGTCTTTTAGTAAAAATGTGTCTGGCACCCCCTGCGTGGTCCCAGTCAGGTTCCAAGTGCAAACGTCATTAGAATTTATGTAATATGAATTAAGACCTGCAAGCTATACAGTCACTGTTAGCAGTTCTGTTCCTTGTGAAAGTGGATTATTTCCCTCATATAATGATATTTTAGTCAAAGACAAGAGTGCAATTATATAAGTAATTCATTGTAAAAT